TTAACTGTAGTTTATCTCAGTTCAAAGGTATGGCCCAGTCCAAAGTCCAAGAAACAAGAAGAGCAAATGCAGCTCCTCTGGAATGACTGCCCCAGCTCCATTTTAAAATGGTTCCACTTATGTCAACTTTCACAGCGTCATGGGTGATGATTAAATTAGACCAATGAATAGTAGAGAAAACTTTAAAAGAGGAGTTCTGAGATGATCATAAGTACATGGTAGGCAAAAGAACTGTAAGAGCAAACATGGAGAGGAAAGAGATTAAAATTCCCTCATCTATGACATCAGTTTTGAATGATTATGGGTATATTATCTGTCTAATGAGAAACTGAAAATTTATGTTGAAAAAAAAAAATTCATGCCAGTCTTTAAAGATATAATTGTCCTTATTTTCACATTTAAATCTCATTTTGGTTGGCATTGCTTCTTTTTATACTGACTTATTTCTCACACACAGTTTTCAAAAAAATTTATAAAAGAACCCTTTTATTTAGTAAACTCTCACTCAGGCTGCCCAGACAGCCATTTTTGCTTTATGTTTCTAAGTTTTTATGTCAGTTGTGTGGTCTGCCTTTATGTGTATCTTAATTATTGTGCTATATCTCTACAAAGTATGAACAATGTGCCTATGTCTGTGGAGGGGTAAGTGGCCAAACAGCATCCCTGCAGTGGCCAAAGGTGATAGCCCAGAAGAGGTGTGGCCAGTGTGAGGAGGAGCCAGACTCCTGGGAATGTAACAGTCACTCCACAGCACAGCTCTGCTCAGATCAGCTGGATGCAATAGTCAAAAGCTTGGCAAGAAACAAAGGTGAAACCTTACTGTACAAGATTTATAATGAAAGGGCAGAGCTTATTCTAAAATGTAGGTAGGGATAAAAGGGCTGGAACGCTCTTGTAGGAAACCCTACTTTTACATGTACATAAAAGGTATCAAGTTTCTGTTTCTGCTGAGATCTGGGGAATGCTTTTATACTACCTTAGGTCAGTAATGTGCCTTTTCACTTTTCAAAACGCTTTTCTTTTGAAGAATTTTGTCATATTACTTCAGTTTTATTCTCACCATAGTCCTAAGAGATAAAAAGGACAGATATCATTATTACTTACATTTGGTGGGAGATGAAACTAGTGTGATTTGAAGGACAGTTATTGGAAGAGGAAGGACTAAAAAATGTGGAAAAAAATCCAGAAAGATAAGGCTAATATTTTACCATTGACTCTGACAGATTTTTTTTTTCATTTAAATTGTCTGAATTTTCTGTTCCTTGTACCAATATACACTATTTTATCAATTTTTAAACTTATTTAAACTTAACAAAAATAGTTTAAGCTTCATTATACTTAATTTTAGGCACTTAAATTTGACTAAAAAATCTAATTATTAGTGTTAGTAGATAGTTTTAATCACAAACGTGGCAAGAAGATCACTAATTTTTCTTCTAAAAGTGTAACGTCAGATACCTCAGGCCTTTTTCATCACTTTTTTTTTTTTTAATTAGAAAAGAGACAGATATGGAGATACTTGCATCAAAAAGACTATATGCTATACATTCTGGTACCCTGCCTATAATTCCAACAAAGAGAACATACATATCTCAATTTAAAACTCAGACGTTAGCTTGATCTTGCTAGTCATCTGTCTGTCTATCTATCAATCGATCGATAGATATTCACATACACACACAGCCACATCCACACGCACATCCTTGGCCATACGTAAACACACATAATGAGTCGAGCACTCATATTCTACGTGTAAGTCCTCCCTCACAAAGGTGAGTCATTACCTGGTCTTGCACATCCGTGGGAAAGTTTACTGATTGAATGGCTTAAAGGGAAGGCACCTTAGGACAAAGGAAGAGGGAA